AAGCAGGAGTGAAGATACGCGCTGCAGTGGAGAAAAAGATCACGTAGGACGTTAGTTTGCGATGATTAGCTTATCAATATGAGAAAAGCAAAAAAGGGAGAAAACAGTGTATGTGACAAGATGCTCTACTTTGCAAGCCTATCCCAAAAGGGAAATACCATCTTTGTCATTTCGAAGACCTATAACTAAGAGCATGTCTATACTACATCCCTGAGTCGACCCCAGGCTCTAGTCTCCCTGCCCCCGGCTTGGAGTCGGGGAGAAGGAAGTAGGGGCAGCTGCCCGGCTTTCTCAAGACCCAGAGCAGGAAGCTGCCGGGCAGCAGCTCAGCTGGGAGTGGAATGCTGAGGGCAGCCAGGCTGTAGCTGCTCAGCTTTCTGGTCAACTTCACAGCTGCAGCATGGAGTTGTGAAATTGACAAGACAGCCCACAGCCTGTGTAAGTAATGCAAGGTCTGCACAGATGCTGCGTCACCCTAACTACGCTGACGTAATCGCTATGCCTCCCGTGGAGGTGGAGTTACTATGTCAGTATAGTACAGCACTTACGTCAGCGGGACAAGGCTGTAGTGTGTACACTGACATAATTAGGTCGACGTAAGCTGCCATATGTCAACCTAACTGTGTAGTGTTAGAGCAGGCCATAATAATCAGGGAATGTTTCATTGCAATAATAATTGGCCAGCTCTAAACAAAGTTTCTTGTCATAGTTTGTTTTAGGGAGATCTGAAAGAGGAAGAGTAGGAACTTCCTTTACACACGACTCCCTCCCCCCTTTGCGATTGTTCCATTTTATTCTCTTGTAGCTCTCCTGCTTTGGTGATTCTTTTTTATATTCGGATGAATATATGTGATACATATGGAGTGTGAATGGTACTTAATTTTCTGCCCCCTCCCCCCCCCCGCCCACACTCCTTTCCTCTAAATCACTGCAGCATTTGTTTTCCAGCCTTTCCCAGATCAAGGAGAATGAGTATGCTTTGATGCTTTAAAGCTGGAGTTCACTTCCTTTGGTGCAGCCATGTAATCTCTGTAGCCCAGGGTTAAAAGTTGGGCAGAAAGGGAGAAATCCTTTGTCTTTATGAATCTTTATTCCTGACCTCACGTTCCTTGGCATACTTCATGCAAAGCTGTTGTCCATTTTATGGAGCACTGATGTTTATTGTAGTCGGCTACTTTTTAAAGAAGTTTTAAAATGTGGGCATATTACTCTCTCGCATTGTATTTGCTTCAGGTGTACAGTTGTAAATATATTTTGGTTCATGAGCTTGACTCATTGCTGTGGTGCTGGTTGTTATGATTTATGTGATGCTGGTTGTTATGATGTGGTGCTGGTTGTTATAACAATGATTTGTTAATACAGCAGCTCTCAAAATGATTGTTTAAAGCTTTACAGTCCTGTATGTTTTGTAATATTAAAATGAACAGAAACACAGTATCTGAATCTGCCATTTCAAATATTCAGGCATGTTGTGGCAGTTTCACTTGGTGAGATTTCTCAATAAATTTTTGGGATTCACTTTGAGAAACTTTGTGAGTGGGGAAAGCTGATCAGTTGAGGAACTTGGAAAGTAAGTTTGTTTGTTTTGTGGGAGTATTAAACGTTTCTGGCATCTTTCAATTCTCTTGGCCGTAATGGCATTCTACAGAAAATGAATTTTATAATTCATACACCACTTAAGAAAACAAAATAAATCAGACCTAAAATGTATGTATGTTCTGTTACTACTTTTATCTTTTGTAACTATAAAGTCATTTCATTGGGTCTTAAATAACTGCCCCCAGAGTAGATTTAAGTACAGTTTTTGAGGTCTGATCCTTGTAGTAAATTTCAACAGTAATAGGAGTTCCGTTAATATTTAGAATCCACACATTTAGGCTATGTCTGCTCTTCGAGCTCAGGGCATAATTCCCGGTTTGAGGAAATGCTGCTACGTTAGCTCTCATCGAGCTCACATTCTAAACGTAAAGGGGAGCCGTGACAGCAGGAGGGGCTAAACACCTTGAATACTACGATCCTGTCTGAGAGGCTAGGTACATAGTCGGGACGGCTAATCCCTCCTGCCACTTGTGCCGTCGCAGCTACACTCTGTTTTTAATGCAAAGGCTCAATCGGAGCTGGCACAGGTATGTCTCTTTGGCTGGGAAGTACTCCCCCATCTTGAAGTCTGCACATATCCTGAGAAGCTAAAGTAGATTTGGGGGTGAGTGGCCCCAGTGAAGTCATAGGTAATCTGCCACTGACTTAAATGGTGCCAAAAGACTTCTGAAATTTAATAAAATTTCATTCTAGAATTCTGAAATTTGATAAAATTATTTTATTAGAAATATGTTATTAATCAGGGCCTTGATCCCGCAAAGGGCTGAGCACTCCAGTCAAGTGTGCTCAGCCATCTAAAGGAATGAGTTCTATTTTGAGTGGAAATTAATTCTTTTGTGGCTCAGTCACAGGCCCCAGCTTTGCAACCACTGTGTTTAAAAAATTTAAAAAAAAAGGTCCAAGTGCTGTATATCTCATTAAGTAATAAGACTGAACAAAATTAAGCAGTATTGCTAAGCTCAATCCTTGATATAACCCGCAAGCCTCCTTTGATACAATGTCTGATCCAACACTAGAAATCATCTGCACCTCCCAGAAGAGAACACTGGCCCAGTAGATTATGATATGTTTGAGTTGTTGGGCAGAGGAGTATTGAATAGTGCTCTGTACAGGCCGAGATCTGTGGATGGGTCTGGTGAAGCAGTGCTAGAGGCAGTTACAGTTACAGTTGATGTCATTACTATATGATGATAATTCTCTGGCTCTGGGTGGTATTTCCTTTGCTGACATGCTATGGTGTGTGTGTAACCTCTCCCCTGTTTCCTATGAGCGCCGTCTCTTTTGCTTTGGTTCTTTTTCTCAAAGCTTTCTTACAACAGAAAGCAGTTAGCAAATGTTACTGGGTGATCGATGAATGTGGCTCTAGATTATTCTTAACACTGTATATTTTTTCTTATCTTACTGTACTTAATATAGCTTTTCATTTTCCATCCTACAATAAGTCACTGTTTTTTAAAGAACTTGCTGTTCTTAAATTTCAGCCACTGTAGGTTTAGTATCGCCTAGATGAAGGAAAGGTATTTCTCCTGGTTTGTTACTTCATCAGTTAAAAAATGTGAACAGTTAAAGCATTGGCAATGATCATTATTGATGGTGCACTCTGCCCAAAAAGCACATTATCGATGACATTGGAAAACTAATTGATAGAGCTGTTTACTGAGTAATTTGGCACATTTCTGTAATAATTCAATCTAATTCTGATGAGAAATCTCAAACCAAAATCCCTCAGTACTAAATTCTTTAAAAATTACTCAGATAACACTTGCACAAAAACTGGAGGCTGACTTGAACCTACAAATAATGCCTCCGCCCCATGTCTGTACCTCCATCTACATCCAGGCAGCTAGATTTGCCATTGATTCTCCTTTTTCTCAGGCAGTGATGGAGGGAGGACTTCTGAGACTTGAATTTTACAAGATGAATTCAGGAATAGTGTGTAACTCCCAAACTCACTGAGTTTTTTTTCATAGACCACCACTCACATGGGATCTGTTGTCCCCACCACCTGCATCTCCTCTGCCTGAGGGCCCCAGGATGGAAGAGGTCCATGGAAAAGATAATATTTTTGGTTGTATTATCTTTTCCGTGTAAACTCCACATGGTGGATGGGCGACAATAAGTATTTCCTCACACCCACAGGTCCACCCAGTCTCCACATCCTCCCCTGTCCAGCTTGTAGAGAAGAAGGTCACCCTTAGTGTGGTCTGAAGGCGGTAGGTTGGGGTACGGTATTGCAGCCCTCTTCCCTTTTCACCTTCTGAGTGGGTAGTAGAGATCTGTGGAAGGGTCAGGGGGCATGGGACAATGAATTCAGTGTTTCCAACTCTCACAATTTTATCATGAGACTCCGTGATGCTTGGCATTTTTTTCGTAAAGCTCAGCTTCTGGAAGCAAGTTATGATGTGAGAGTCTCAGCTTTCATGTTTTTAAACACCACCTTGATTTCAGAAATGCCTTAAAACCTGGTCCTAGTACACCTAAAAGTTCAGAAACCTGCTTCCTATTCATTTCATTTGGTGACCCCTAGTTCTTGTGTTATGAGAAGGAGTAAACAACACTTCCTTATTTGTTTTCTCCACACCAGTCATGATTTTACAGACCTCTATCATACCCCCCCTTAGTCGTCTCTTTTCCAAGCTGAAAAGTTCCAGTCTTATTAATCTCTCCTCGTATGGAAGCTGTTCCATGCCCCTAATAGTTATTGTTGCCCTTTTCTGAACCTTTTCCAATTCCAATGTGTCTTTTTTGAGATGAGATAACTACATCTGCACACAGTATTCAAGATGTCGGCGTACCTTGGATTTATATAGAAGTAATATGATATTTTCTGTCTTCTTATCTATCCATTTCTTAATGATTCCCAACATTCTTTTTTGCTTTTTTGGCTGCCACTGCACATTGAGTGGACAGTGTCAGAGAACTATCCACAATGACTCCAAGATCTTTCTTGAGTTGTAAGATGTATGTCATGCTGTTTTGTCACTGCTCATATATTTGTAAGCTTGACTTCAGCTTGACCTGTCCAAAGCACAGTGAGATCTTAACATGTCACATATTCTGTAACCTGATTGCTCCATTAGGTCCAATTTTGTCCACTCCTTTCCCACTTAATTGAAAACCATTCTGTGTTTCCCCAGAAATTTTAGCCTGGTAGGTAATGTTGGTTTGGTGCTTTTGGTGGCTAGTCACCTGCCAGATTGGGTAAAAAGAGTAAACTAGATTCGTCATGTTACCCTGTTGCTATTTATATTTTTTTTTTTCAGCATCATGTATATACTGTGCGTATTTTAAACATACAAATTCAGGTATTGAACTGAGCTCTGTTCTTGTATACCTGTTTATTGAGGTTGACATAGTATAGAGACACTATTCAAAATACTTTTTACTCTTATTTTCCCTAGCTCCTGCAAGTGGATGGATATCCAACAATATGACACCGTCTGGCGCGACTGCACCAAGCGATAAGTCTGTGACTCCGCCTCAACTAACAGAGCAAGACACTTTGGTGCAGAGAGCAGAGCATATTCCAGCAGGAAAGCGCACTCCTATGTGTGCTCAGTGTAACCAGGTCATTAGGTTTGTACTCCTTTTAATGATCATTTTATCCTAAAATCTTTCTTACGACATAACCTGGTTTTGTTTTATTTTAATTATGTCGTCACAAATGCTTTTGGGCTGCATTTCAGTCAAACAAGATTCAATGCTTTTTACCACTTTCAGGCGTGAAATCCACATGATTCATTTTAAAAAAGTGAACCTGGACCTGGTGACACAGGAAGCAAATGTGGAAGCCATTATCTGCTCTCAATAGTCATGGTCGCTTTTAGAACCTGTTTTACTGAAAATGGGAATGTTGGCTGGGACTCGGCAAAAATAAAACCTAAACCAAATAAACAAGTTGTGACAAAATCAAACGTTCATTCAGTCAGACCCAGAAGATTAACAAGATTAACAAGCTTTCGTGAGCTACAGCTCACTTCATCGGATGCATCCGATGAAGTGAACTGTATGTCACAAAAGCTTTTGCTCAGATAAATTGGTTAGTCTCTAAGGTGCCACAAGTCCTCCTTTTCAGTTTTGAATGGTACTTGGTAAGCCAGAACAATTAAATGAAAAGAGGAGGAAACATAAGATACTCCCACACATAAGAAGAAATGTCACATTTTAATTATTGCTAGGACTATAATAATAGTGGTTTTGTTTTTTTTTCCCCCAGTGTCTGATCTTGAAATCTGTCCAATCATAATCTAGGGCTAACCATCATGCACTTGATTGTTACAGTGGCTTTGAGTTGTATAATATGGAGGGAAAGAAATTTCACCCAGATACATTCTGTGACTGAGATTAAGCTAAATACATTCCATTCACTTCAGTGATGTAATGATTGGTTAGAATATATAGGTAGTGATTTTTGCCAATTAGCTGATGGGTCTGTCTCCAAAAGGACAGTAAATGTAGAAAGGACCACCTTAATGTGTGGTGTTTTCTTGGTCAAATTTTAAAAAATAAGCTCTCTTCTCCACCTCCCTCCACCCCAAAAAGCTGTCATTTACCTGGGCTGCTCAAGCTCATAAACCCACGGGAAAATAATTATTTTATTAAATAATCAAGGCATTAAAAATGAGTAATCTGAAAATTTTCTTATAGCAATAATGAATGAAATATGTGCACGTTCTAATTCAAACAGGGATATGCATTCATTCCAATTCAAATTTTATGCTGCACTATAAAAATGTAAAAGGTATGTGCTCACAAGTCTTATGGGTGCAATTAAAAGGGTGTATTGAAAAGCTTAGCCTCTAAAACCATGTATCATTTAACTATCTCATTACCTGGCCAATAGAAATTTCTGAATGGATCAGTATATAGTAAATTACATGCAGAAAGCCAAGCATGCCCGTCTTTCACAGCTGTGGTTATTTTGTCTTTAAGGTGTAGCACTATAATCTCTCACTTGAGAAACTGCAGCTCCCTTTTAAATTATTGCTGGTTTAGCAGACATTATTGTAGCTTTATCTACACCAGTGGCTCTCACGCTCTAATCTGGAGAACCAGATGGTCACATGGTGCTATTTCACCTTGTTTCCAGCTGCTAAATCTCATTAAATGGGTTTAAACATACATTAAATGCTTTCCTAATATTACGTAGCTTGCAGTGTTCTTGGAACAGGGACTATTTGTAATGTGAATATGCAGCTCACTGGGGCTTTGGCATATGATTAGGACCCTTAGGTACTACTGCAAGACAAACAATAATTTGTATGTAACAAGTTGCTGTAATTACCACACGGATGATGATTGATCACAAATGAAATGGGAGATGAGCTACGTAACTGAACTGGAGAATGTGTGGTCTGTGAAACGGTCTCCGTTAAGATGCAGTCAACACAACAAAAAAATGCCCCGATCAACAGTACTTATACCATCACCTACTAGAGATTTTCTGTGGCAGATACCTCCTTAATAAATTACAGCATAGGTTGCAGAACTGGTGGGGCCATGCAGCCTGTACCCTGACCACTTTTTGGCCAGGTCCAACTTGATTGGTACTGTGAACTAGCATGCCAGGTTGCAACACCAGTCACTCAAATTTGTCATAATAGAGGGGCTGCCAGGCCTGATCTGAGTGGCGGTCGCAACATCACTCCCTCAAATTTGGAGGGGATGGCTAATGGGCCTGGGGAGATCAGGTTGCTGGTGGAGGGGGGTGCCTGAGAGGGGAAGAGAAGGGTCAGGTGGAGTTGCGGGGAGGGGGAAACTATGCCACCCCCACACTTAAATGGTGCTTTGCAGCCATTGAATTATAATGCATCTGAAAGTGATGGGTTCTGTTTTCCCACATGTGTGCAGGGGACTTGCATGTCTAACTTCCTTTTTCCTTAGTGCTAAATATTTCTTACATAAATCCCATATATTCTGGTGGAAGGATTAGTTCCTATGATGCTGGATTAAACAGCCTTCTGGACATGAATAAAAATATGGCAGTTGCAGTTCAGTTTGCATGCCGTTTTAAGCTTACTGCTACTGGGATTTATTTTAATTAGAGGAAAAGCTGGCTAGTCATGCATACATGGCACATGAGTACAGCACAGAGTAATTGTACCATATGATATTTCAGTTTGACCACTATTTATCTGTCTTTCAACAGTCAGTTGTATATCAATTCAGATTATTCGGATGCTTTTCATAGGCCAAGCTTTCATATCTTCAAATGCCAACGGAGTTCTTAAGAACAAGGATAATTTCATGTCAAGATCAACTGACAGTACAGTAATCAGTAAACTGAGTTCACCCAACATTCTCACGCTACAGTGGTTTTGGAAGATTGTGATAGCTTTTGGAGTTCAAGTTTTAACATAATTACAGTTCATGGCCTTACTGGCAGCATTACCTACGAAAAGGTAGGAGCAGTATCAAGTGACATTCCATTGTACGCCTGTTTTGCAGCCAAAATGCACTGTAGCGTTGGTTACTTTACACTAAGGCATAGAGTAACCATGGCTTGTCAAGCCAAAAAAATTGACATCTTATAACTTTTTAATTTATTCTCTTAATTATAGATATGTTTATCTTCCACAGACGTCAACATTTTCCAAGGTTTCATTAGGTTAAACTTTTCTTTCTTTGCAAAAAGATACCCAAACCAAACACAAGCTATATTTTCTGTTTAAAATATGTAATATTTGTAAAGAGGCTCTGAAAGACTTTTAATTGATAGCTCCCAAGGACTTCAGGAACTCAGTAAGTCTCTTAATACCAAGATGCTGAACTGGCTGTCACTTGGAAATCCAAATTTGTATCCCCAGGGTCTCCACTAATAATACTGTATATTTTTGTGTGTGTAAGTGTGACAAAAGATTTATTTTTAAGATCTATTTTCTCAAAGTTTAATTATTCTGAAGGTCAAGGGGCAAAATTAAGAGTACCGTTTTTGTTGGTTTCTTATATATAAGAAAATACAGGTCATGGGGTTTGCCAGTGAGGAAAAGAAGAAATGTTTGTTTTTTGGACGGCCATTCTGTTAACTGTCAAGCGATTGACCAACTGAGCAGATGTGAAAATCCTTTCCATCTCCCCACCACTAAATTCCTCTGTTGGCTTGGTCGTGCAGTACAATGCACATGATCACCAAGATAGATACTGCTGGTGGGCCCTCTGAATATACTGACACTGTTGTGTCTGGTTACAGTGTCAAAATAGGGAAATAATGCTTATTTTCTGGTAAGCCTTTGCTTCTCCTTTTTATACAGCTTATGTATAGTATATTTTTATACTGCTTATTTATAAGCAATATAAAAGTGGCTGCCTTGCAGGGTGCCGAAAGAGTAAATAGTTGTCTGAGTGTAAGTTTCTACCTCCAGCTGTAGGGTTTGCACACCTAGTCTACACAGTCATGTTTGAAAACTGGACCTGAAGTCCTTAGCGCCTCAGAACAGCCTGTAAGGATGGCTCACTCAAAGCAAGCCGTGGCTTGTAGGATTGTCCTTGATTTTCATGATGGAGTGGGTGATGGTTTTATAATAAATACGTCCTACAAAATTTGACTTCTTGCAGGTATAAGTCCCTTTTCGGTCCAGTGGTAAATGAATACCTTTCATTACTGCAAGCTCTCAGTACGGGATGAATGTTTTTTGATGAAACAATTTAATCCATGCCAAGATGAGGAACGCCTCCAAAATTCTGAATATCACATCTTTGTCTACTTTGCCATTTTTTTTCTGTCCTTCGAGGTTTTCTTTTTAAGGTTTTGGGTGTGATTAAACTTCTAACATGTTTAAACAGTGACCCAGTTAAAAGTATGGGGTTTTTTTTAAAGGCATGTTTCTGAACATATGTATATAGCAAGTACAAGCATACTGATGGAAAAACTTGAATCCTAAGAGTCACTGTGCAGTATGCTACCATGTTTGTCTTGGGACTGTAGGGAGGGAATACTGCTTAGATACAATTTTATACCATTTCCTGTCCACCTGGATTCCAGCACGTTATCTGGAATGGTTAGCCTAAAAATGTCAAAACTGTGGAGAGCTAAATACACCAGACGTTGAGGTCCCTCTCCTGCTTTTATTAGAATACTTTCCTTCCACTTTGCAACTATCCAAGCCTATCATTTTAGAACAGACAAACAGAAACTTGATCCTACTGAAGCTAGAAGAACCTCTTCAGTGTCAGTCCTGTGTTAATGAATGCGTTAAATTAGCCTGTGCTGACACTGTGAGAAGAGAGCACTTTGTTGTACACAAGAACTTGTATTGTTTGATCTGTACATAACTGAAAGGGCATTGATGTAAAAAGGTGCTTGTACAGAGGCTGAAGGGTATCAGGTTAGGTCAGCGTTTGCACTATTTAGTCATCCACAAGGGAGTCTGGAGTTTGACGACACTAATTTGGTCTTCCAGGTTCAGGAACAATTTTCCAAATATTGTTTCCATTATTTCTCCGGTTGTCAAATATGGTCAGGCAATAACTTTGTAAATGAAATAAATTCTCTCCCTTTTCCAAGATGATGCATGAGCCATTTTAAATATACTTTCGTCCCATTTCCTTTGCTCTCCTCTACTGTTCGTGTTTCATCAAGAAAACAAATAAATGAGGGAAATGAAAAGAATTATCCACAGCTTCTTTCGATGAATTTCTCCTCGTTCTACTGCCCATTTGTCTTCCCATCCTGCAGATACCCCACCCTAGCAAGCTAGGGAGAACAATGGGGATGAATTCTTCCAACTATTTCCCTAATTACTTTGTTGGTAAGAAAATCTTGCCATTCTATACAAAAAATGTTCTATTCCTTACTTAATTCCCTTTAATATTTGGAATCTTTGTGGTGTGGGATTTTTGATTGTTTTGTGTTTTGGTGCAGGACGGAGTGCTGTATATTGAGCATGATCAGAACTAGGTTAAGTACAGCAGCAAGGTACACGATAATCTTTCAGGGTTACAGAAAATTAAAGTTTTGTTCCAGACCCCAATTTCCTCAAAGTTTGAATATGGTTTGAACTTAGTCTCAAATCAAAACCCTATCTTTGCTAAAATGAATGTGTGAGTATCAAAACAAATAATTATTATAGAAAATAACCACTTTAAATATGTTTCAAAATGAATATAAATGTAACTGTATAAGGGAGAGCTTTATAAGTATAATCTGGCAAAAATTAATTTGCTTGTAGACTGGGTGGTTTTGTCCAAAACCCTGATTGACTTATCCAAATGAATATCTTACAAGTACTTCTGCATTTCTCAAATGATAATGGCTTGACTTTTCCCGTTCTGGATGCAAAATGTTCTTGCCATAATTGGGCTTCCTGGAGAAAACTGCTGTCTCTCACCTGGACTGGTTCATCACTGCAGCAGACTCTCAGGATAAGGAAATTTATTGTATTTTTGTCTCTTGAGAAACTGATCTTATCCTTCTTGACTTCTTTGTGGAGTCAAATCTATGTTAACATTTGTAACCTTGATACAGATATGTACTGAAAAAAAGTTACAATAATTTTAAATGAAATTAAATATATTTTGCAATGGCTAGAAATCATTTGGAAGATCTTATAATGAGGTCTTATAAAATAGTAACCTTTTTTCTAGCAATCACTTCAGTGTTATGGAACTATATTTAATGGAGTTCAAAATAAGATGTGAAAGAAAAGCCATTAGTGTTGTTGTGAACAAAGATTATTCCAGGCATTACTGGAATGCAATGAAATGGGCACAGAATTGTTCAGTGTTTTTTTGGAGATTGTTGTAGGTAAGAGATGTTAACCAGCAAAGGTTTGTCGTTTGTACTAATGTCACATGGGTAATTTGGATAGACATTTACAGTTGTCCGTGTTGCCCCCTGTCCCTTTCAGTTGCACTGCATTGGCTAAACTAGTCCCTTCTCCTTTAACCAGGGGTCCTTTCCTGGTGGCTTTGGGGAAATCCTGGCATCCAGAGGAGTTTAACTGTGCTCACTGCAGAACCTCTATGGCTTACGTTGGGTTTGTGGAAGAGAAGGGGGCTCTCTATTGCGAGATCTGCTATGAGAAGTTCTTTGCCCCTGAATGTTCTCGATGCCAGAGGAAGATACTTGGAGTAAGTAATCAAACTGTGTGTGCATGGTTTAAATTAGTATTTTTAAAGGTGAATATTAACCACAGCCTTTTCCTTATTTTTGTAATGGATTAGTTGCTGTTAGGGAACACTTTATTGCAGATTAATCTTATTTAATTAACAGGGCATCTCACATGTCTCTTCTAGAACTCTGAAATCCCCTTTTCGTAGCCAAGTTCTCATCCTGCAGATTCACTCTGTAGCACCAATACAGCTGTCGGCATATGCACGTAGGCTACAGTTCTATATTCTAGTCCCATGCCAATAATGGACATTACCAGTTTATCTCCAGCACTCTTTGAGGAGAGACATTGCAGCCTCCCCCTTGCCAGAGACCTGGACCCCAGGCCTTGCTTCTGGCTTTGCCTCTTTGGAGTTCATCTTCTCTCTCCAAGTTGCCCATCGGTAACTGCTGCAGTTCTTTGATTGAAGTGAAAGGATATTTTATTGGTGGTTTTTGACAGAATTGACAAAATAATTGTACAATATGTAAAAATGATTATGCCTCGCTGAGTACTACAGAACATGTCATTTGTCTGGTACTAGGCATAAGATAAAATATCAAAATGTTCCCTCAAGTGTGGTAGGTAGAAAAGCCCTCGCTCCTCTCACAGCCTAAAGTTTCCAATTCCAACCCTTTGATCCAGAAAGATAAGAGTCTGTTCCCCGGTGTCGCTGGAAATGGTAAGCATACATCTCATTGCTTTAGCAGTCCAAGTTTCAAGTCACATTTGGCATTACATCATCTTTCAAAACCTAACAAAATTGTCATAATGTCCTTTGTGATGTCCCCTAATTAACTTTTCCCTATCTTCACGAATATTAATTTATATTTGTCTGAAATCAGTGGGACTACTCACACAGAAAGGTACTACTCAGCGTGAAGAAGGGAGACAGAATCTGTCTCAAAATCTGTTTGGGGACCTTAGCAGGGGGCCGTGGTACTGTTAAGCAAGTGGAACTTCAGTTCTGCATGCGTCCTCCAGAGTATTACAAGAGTATCCCTGAAACGATGGAGTCACCAAATTGATCTTGGCTTGGGGATTTTTTGTTGCTTTAATTTTTGACAGCTGCCGGAGACTTGAAATAACACGTTGATAGTGTTGAGATGATAATTTAAACAGTTCTTCATCAGAGATGAAGAACGGGAGAGACATTTTTAAAAAATGCAGTAGTTTATAATGCATATCAGCAAAAAATTATGCTCATGTTAATTTATTTAATAAGATTCTCGAGTAACATTGCAGAGAAAGCATAAAAACAGTGTTTTTTACAACAGTACAGAACATGATCACTCCTATTCACTCATCATATCAACATCACTTATTAATACCCCTTTTTCTTATCCCAACAGGAAGTAATCAATGCTTTGAAACAAACTTGGCATGTTTCCTGTTTCGTATGTGTGGCCTGCCATAATCCCATTCGCAATAATGTCTTCCATTTGGAAGATGGGGATCCCTATTGTGAGACAGGTGAGCAGCGACAAAATGACCAATGTTTTCGGTAAAACAAACCTTTTCACTTTGACAGAAGCTTTCCCACTAGTTTTCATAACAATGTATTTATTTCATCTTATCCAACAAACTAGCACCTTTGAGTCGGGGGCTGGATTTTGCCACAGTGAAGTCAGTTGGAATTTAGCTATTGACTTCATTAGGAATAGGCTCTTCGTCGTAGTTTCATTTAGTTGCTGTTCTTGCTAAGTTCCCAGATGTAGGTATAGATAACACAATAAAATGCTAATTCTCAAAAGATTTTCATGTTGGTTTTTATGAGAACCCATATCTCTTCATTCACTTGAAATAGGGATTAAATGAGCAAATACTATGCGAAGTAGTGTGTGTTACTATGAGTAGTCTTACTGATGGCAATAAGGCTACTTCTGGTCGTAAGTGATCTGTGCAGGAGGAAGTGCTTTGCAGGATCAAGAATAACATCTGTAGAACACAAGCTTAAGATCAAAAAGGCTGGTAGGAATAAAAATACAGTGATTTGATTCTAGCTCTTGAAAATCTAAAGACCAGTATTAATGTGAAAAACAGTCTCCTTTGAACTTCCCTTTTTCACATTTTCAGCCAAACCATTTCCTTGAAGGAGTGAATAATTTCATTTATTTTCTTTGCTTTCCTAGTTTGTTTAAAACTTTCCACATAGATTCCCTCTCTAGGAAAGAAATGGGATGATATTTATAATAAATATTCACAAAATGTGAAAGAAATAATTGACAAAAGGTTCAATATTATGTGTTTTTCTTCTTGCATGATATTTAAATCCATATTAGAAGTGTCACCAGTGGGGCCTTTTCATGGTTTCCCCCCGCCCTGTAATGTACAGTGTGATTTCACTAATAGGAGTATTAGGGTGAGTAGCTTGGGCAGGAGAGAGTGAAAAGCAGATTGATTGGGAAGAGACCTGGGGTGAATCTTGTCTCCACTCAAGTAGTGGCAAAACTCTCATTGATTTCATTGGAGCCAACATTTCAGCTCTTGTTGTTAGCAGAGTTGTTCAAAGCAATGCAGAAACGGTGAAGGGGAGCTAAAGATCAGCATGGCAGAGGAAGATTCTGCTGCCAGGATTGATTTGGTTATGTGGAGGAGAGGAGTACACACTACTCTCCCCATAACATTGTCAGAAGTACTGCAGTATCTTGCTGCTGTTGAATCATGGGAGTATCCTATGGAATGGAATATTGACAGATGAGTAGACTTGTCAAGTATGACAGTGTTGTTGAAATGTCATCCTCTGGGAGTCTGAAGTCCCTAAACTTAGAAAGACTTGACAGTCTCTAAATAGAGTGATCAAAACTAGTATTAAAGTAATCGATAACTCACCTCGAGGTGGAGAATTCATGACTGCATTTGTTCTGCTAATATTGAATTCTTGCTCCTACTATCAAGTGATCCTCCTTGTTATGGAATGCGTTGATTGGTGCTACTTTACAAGCCTTCCCAGCTCAAATGCTCACTCTTCTGAGCTACAGGCAGATAGATATTGAAACACGATGCCATTACTATCAGCATGACACATGTGGTAGTAAGCTTACTTGTGAGCCGCAAGGTTGTTAGTACAAGTCTGCTTTGACACATCCTGAGGTTGCAGGTACGACTGTCAGAACCAGGGGTGGAAGTGCTATGTAGTAAAAGCACTGGGTTTCTAATGAGATGTTAAACGGAGGGGTTGGCTGAGCAATCGGTATGAACTTGCTGAACACAGAGCACTTTCAGCTACTTCTGTGTGAAAAACGCTGCATAGAAGAAACTGTTATACCACAGTTTCTGGAGGGTGAAAGGGAAAGAAAGCTGAAGCCTTCCATTATGCCTTTGCTACTGCTCTCTTTCTTCCAAAGGAAAGTCTGTAACTTTTTGGCACTGTAAGCAGGAGCCAAGTTAAACAGGGCTCTGACTATTGTAAGATGCATTGAAGCAATATGTTTGTGACACCAGGGTCACAGTCAGGATTTACAGGTCCTGTGAGATGGAGAAGTGCTGTACTATTTGATGTTTTCATCAACTTTCCCCACTACACACACTATTATTGTTTTTTCCCAGCATCGAGATCCCGGACTAATAAAAAGGATACATCCCTCTTGCCACTATCAGTCAGTGAAGGGCTTTACTGCTCCAATATGTTTGTGCTCACAACCTGCTTTTAAGCATCATGTTTTAGAGCACTGTTTCAGGGGATCCAAAGCAGAAATCTGCCCCTTTGCCTTTTCACATGGGAAAAGGCACCTGTTGGCTCTGAGTTCTCCAGCAGGCATTAGAGAGACTCAGCACGTCCATGTTGCCTAGTAGAGAAACAAAATCTACTTTCACACTGCTTGCCACTCCTTCCCGGGTTCCCTAAGAACAGTCCTCAAACATCTCTTCTCCGTCAGTGCCACAATGTTGCCAAAAAGAATGAAGTCTGAAATTCCAATATAGCTGTCACTTTGTCTAATTCATCTCATGGAAACTTAGTGTTCCATGACACATGGTACCTTTGGCATCATGATGCAGTGATCCAAAACCCATTAAAGCTACCTCACTGTTCTTGTTCTGGACCTGAACATTTATTTTTTTCCTTATGCTTGGCTGTTGGGGGTGGGGAGTAGGGATGGGTCTGAAATGAAAGAAAATATAAACTAATTCAGGGTGAAAGTTGGCCCTGTGCAGCGGAGCAACACGACATCGGATGTAAATGATGCATAGCACTTGAGGTGACCTTTGCACAGGGGTGAGTTTCACTCTTTGAGAGGAGACTATCAGAGCCAATACTGACCTTCATACATTTAGAAATGTTGATTAGATGCACATTGTATTGTAATGAACATACAACAGAATACAAACTTAGAGTGAGAGATTCTAGGCAAAATCTGATTTTGTTTTTTTTAAAAACACTCTGCTCAACATGAGCAAACCACAATGGGTGGAATAACTTAAAAGGAAACTATTTAAAAATCCAATTTTGTCAAAAGGGTTGGTCTTTGATTAGAAAAGAACTGGAGAGCAAATATGTATATATTTTTGAAGTGTGAGTGGAGTATTGGAGTGTAGGTTAAAGAAACTCATTTAAGAAGGAAATACACCCAGTGCTGAGGGCCAGTGTGAGGCCTATGCACCATGTAAAGTCTCAAAATAGGGATTGAGGGGGACTTAAGGAGAGCATAGGCCTTGTTCTGGCCCTCTGCATGGGGTGAATTTCACCCTTAACACACTATTGGACTCGAAGTGAAAATACAGAAGTAAGAAAAGAGAGATGAAGAAGGAAAGATTAAGAAATAGAAAGGAAAGGGAGTGAGCATGAGCTGGTGAGAGGAAGGGTATATCATATCTCTCAGGCCCCTATTTAGTTTATCCACCCCCTGAATGCTTTGTCCAGAAACTTGGCAGGTGGTAATATAAACACAGTATCCTCTCCTGAAAAACAAAATGATTTTGAAAGGAAATTCTTGCATTTCCACTCATGCTTCATGCTTTCTGTGGTACAGATTACTATGCCCTCTTTGGTACCATGTGCTATGGTTGTGAATTCCCCATTGAAGCTGGAGACAGATTTCTTGAAGCCCTGGGCCACACCTGGCACGACACCTGCTTTGTGTGCTCGGTAAGTAAAATTATTTCACATTTTAAACAAATCAGTGGCAGCAGTGCTTGTGCTAACCTGAGCAATGTGAGAGTAACAGCTAAAATGTCACTTAATCCTCCTAACCCAAACAAAAAGTACTTTCACGGTTGTTTGGAAGGTGTGTTGCTATTGTGGTATTTTGGCACTCTTAGAGATCTTGGCCATATGTGCTAGCATTTAACCCTTCATGTTGACCCTCCTGGAATATAGCATTAAAAGTCCATAAAGGAAGATGTCATATTTCTAAAATGGCAAGAGTATTGTTTGTGTTCACAGTTTCATATATACCGGAGGTTTTTTAACTCAGATATACGAGTTTACAACTCACTGTTCTACTGCAGTCTCCTTTAATAATACCCCCAGTGTAGATCGTCGTGTATTCGCTAAACATCAAATGCCTCTGTCTCATTTTCTTTCATGTTCTGCTTTATACTGTGCAGATCCTTTATATATGGAAATTCTGCTTCAGTTAAGTTAACCTTTTAGGGGTTTTATTCTTATTTGAACCCTGTTTCAAATAAATTTTGATGTCTCTTCTTTGTATTCCAAAGATAAATGTATTGAGACAACATGACAAACCTATTGCAGCTGAAATGAAAGCATATCTCTGTCTATCATCTTTGCTTGTATTGCACGAACAGGAAAAGTTACAATAAGGATGTGATTTTAAAAAGTGCTCAGCATTGCCCTAATTCTGCTCTTACCAAAGTAAATCAGAAAGTTCCCATTTACTTAAATGGGAACAAGTTTTGACCAACACTAACGCTTTTTAAATATCCCACCCTGAAAGCATGTTCCTGAGCAATGGGTAATAATCCTTATTCCATGATTGTGCACATCAATCACGTGATGATTATTTCACATTCGGAATAATTCACTGAGTGGTTTTTTGTTTTTGTTTTTTCCCAATCCTATTTCAGGTCTGTTGTGACAGTTTGGAGGGTCAGACGTTCTTCTCTAAAAAGGATAAGCCCCTGTGCAAGAAGCATGCTCACTCAGTGAACTTCTGAAGCTTAGGCCACGTATCGTTAACAAACATAAGGAATGGAGAAGGTTGAATTTCATCAGATGTCCATTTTCAATCGGCTAATAAACTATTTATATAAGATTTTAGAATGGAAGAGAAAAGTGGGAACTTTGGGCTTTTTACATAGGAAGGTTGAGAGTGTTTATCAGTGAACATTTTTGAATCAGTAAAAAGAGAAGGAGGGAGATCTGTATTCCAAGAGTAAATTATTGAGTGTAAAAATACACACCTCACAGCATATTACTGTATTGATCTCATGATTTTTTTTATGGCCAAGGTTATATTTGTTTAAATATCAGAAATGGGGCTTCCAGGTTTAGAGAGGTGATAAAATGAAACTTGCTTTTGCTGGTATTCGGGGGGAAGGGGGAAGCATCAGATATATATTCATCATTTTATAGGAAAGAATTTTAAAAAAAAAAGGAATGAAATCAAAGATAAAAATTGGGGTATGTGGGTCATAATTAATGCACGAAATCTTTGCTGTGATAACCATATTCCGTAAGCCCAGGTTATGTTTATATGGCGTTTTTGTCTTTGGTAATCAAGTCTTGAGCAGATCTGCAAAGAGCATGGCAGAGATTTTTACATGGCCACCAAATGGTGGAATTGCTACTGTGCTGGAAAATAGGCATCAAAAAGATGCCCTTTGAGCCACTAGAGAAAACACATGGGACCTACTCTTCAAAATGTGGCACATACCACCAAAATGCTCGCCAATAAAAGTCAGGGTGTGAAATTGCATCTTAAGGTACTCAGTAGTCCTACACTTTAACTTCCAGTAGTATGGAGGCAATGTTGTAAAGCAGCTTAAAATATTTACAGTTTTCTAGATATTGGTGGGTTGGACTAAAACACCAGAGCGGGGAGGAGACTGGGCAATTTTTAAGGCTCAGAAAATAATTTTAGTAGGACTGATATTGCTTTTGAAACAACTAGAGTCTGAAGAGCTGGGGCTCAAATAAATACTTCTAGTGGAGATACTGTACTCAGCACATGTTTGGGAAGGGGATGGATGCGGACAGGTTTAAAATGTACTGTAGTTTCTGCAAGTGAAAATGTGTATTTTAGAGGAGGAGAGATGAAAAACTTTTCAATAGATTCCCCCGCCCCCTCCGGCCGCTTGGAATTATACTGCAGTTAACTCACATTAAACATTTATTGTAGTGATTCTTCTTAACCTCCTATCCCCCCACCCCTTTGTGGACCAGGATTTGGAATTTCCCAGTTGCTAAGAAATTCTAGACCCACAGTCTGGAGGGGCTAATACTGCTGCGTTATGCAGCAGTTTTATCCTTTAATTTGTGCTTTGTCTATTTGTATTATAAACACACGCGCGCGCGCTTCGAACCTAAAGTCACTGTTAAGTAATTAATATTAAATGGTGAAACAAGTTATATAAACAAGCACACACAAAAAGGAACTATATGATTATTAATGTTTTTAATAGGTGAGATTCTAGTAGGGCACTTTATAAGGAATGCTGTATCTCTCACTGAATATTTATTATTTTGGTTAGGAATATTCCACATTGGTATCTTTTTGATTTCACTTTTAAGGAAGCCTAGCTTATTTACTTCCAGAATTTTTAGGGGTCTATTTTTTTTTTTGACTGCAGGCTTGATGTAGTTCAACTGGGGACTTTACAACTTCCAAAAGTATTTTTCATGTGGGATATCCTCAACAAACAGTGTTCTGCTTTTGAGCAAATGTGAGAATCATCTAGGGTCAATCCTGCCTTCTGGAACATAGCAGATGTATCAGAAACTGCATTATAACTTAGAAAATCAGCAACTGTGCTTTTTACGTGCATGCTCTGTAAGTGATTTCTCAAAATATGCCTGTTGGAGGGCAGGACTGAATTTAAATGTTTTGAGGTGAAAGTGGGTTTAGAGGTGCATAATTGAACCATGATGGCAGACTTTTCCGAGTTCAGTTACATCAAGCCGACAGCTTTATCTGTAAATATAATAATGAATGCTTAATAGAACATTATCACAATTTTAAAGGTAATTGCTGGGTAGTGGGTGCAATATGTGTTGATCCATTCAGTAGTCTTTCCCTGCTGTGTGTGCTGAAACAATAGCATTTTCTATTCATATGAATGGTTTTGCAAACAGCAGTAAAGGGAAAATACTTCCATTTACAGATTACAGTTGCTCAAACCTCTCTGTTTTTTGCCTTGTTTTGTTTAAAAAAAAATGAGTTAAAGAAGCCTGGTGATTTGCTTGCTTGCTTTCTTTATGCTTTTGCTTCTACTTTTGACTTCACATTTGCAAATTTCATAAGACAAACTCTGTTCCTGTTACCAGTTTTGATCCTAAATAAAGATGTATGAAAAGCAGTCTGGAAAGCAATATCATGATGTATACGTATTAATAAACAGCTTTGGAGTTATATTTATTTTGTTGGGTGGTGGTTGTTTTTTGTCTTTGGATTTTTTTTAAGGTCACACAAGAGAAGCAGAAATGTAGCCCGGAACAGTACCACTACCGTATTCATATTAATTGAGCATTCTTTATTTCAAAATACTGGCCAGAGTAGAATATTTTGCAGTGTATTTGCAAGTGTGTTTGGCATTTTTCCCTAGGCTGAGGCTTTTCATAGCAATGCTATCGCCCATGACGAGCATTATCTGATACTGTATTTAGCCTTGGTACAAAGCATTCTCTGCTTTCACCTGGGGATACTTAACCATCTACTGTAACATGGTCAATTACTTCATGATAAAGCAGCCTCATAAGAGTCTCATGAGCTGGATATCTCTTAAATAGGCAAATGCACTGTTGTTTTTCTGTCTTTATTTGTACAAGCAGAAAAAATACTGCACATGGCTATATAAAATTTAGATGCAACTTTACAGGAATTTTGTCTCTGCTGCAGTGTTTAGGCTATGAATGAGACAAATGCAAGTCTATTTGCAAACAGTATATTAAACTCCAGAAGCCAAACTCTTAAAGACATCAAGTCAAAATTGACATTTTAATGGGAGAGGTTTGGTTTCTATCAATCACAACATCATTTAACATTAAAATGCACCGACAAAAATAAGAGATCTGTCATTCATTCATTAAGAAACTGTAATCTAGTGTAAGATTTATAGGCTAAAAACTCAACAGCATGTTTTCACAATAAATCCCCTTTCACTGCTCAACCCAGAACAAGTCTCTCTGTCACTCAAAACGTTTGCCGATCAAAATGCCCTGTATAAGATCTTCAAAGGTTTTCTCACAAAATTGCATATAAATCCTTTTACCAGCAAAAGCTTAGTATAGGTTTGTGTTTTACTTTCTTGGGGCATTGGTTAATTTCTTGTGCTCAGACAAGATCTTGGTTATATCAGAAACACATAGGGCCTAATTTATTATTAGCAGTCTGGTGTTAATTAGGGGGAATTACCAGAAATAGTTTGCTTGATGGAAATTTATTATCGTATCACACTTTACTGATGGCAAAATAGGAGTCACTGAAAGAATGCAGCTCCTACTCATAACCAACTAATTAATAAGGTGCCAAAATTCCTCTGAGAAGGGTTTGGTCCTAACTATGGGAACCTAACAGGGCAAATGGTTCCTATCCAATATTTAAAATTTTAAAGGGGAAAAGAGGGAGGAGGAGAAATTGCTGCCCAGCAAAAGTCCCAAAAGTGGCATGGCTTTTACTTGCACTTATAAATGAAAGCATTTAACTCAGTTCCTAGGCTTATTAGAACACTCGTTTTCCCTTTTATGCAGACAGAAAAACAGCTGCAAATTTATTATCTTACTTGGCGTTCTGAACTTGATTTTCAGTTTTCCTTGTGTATATCATACATTATGGCAATGCTTTATGAATAGGACTTTAGAAATAACAGACTATTGTACTGAATTTTATTCCCATTTAAAAACTCTCCATTTTTTATGTAATGGCTTAAAAAGTAAAGCCCACAGTAAGTTGCAAATTTATATTAATGATTGATACGTAAGGTCTGGCTTCTACACTTTTAATACACCTAAATGTTTGCTATATAAGGCTGTTTGGGAATAGAAAAGCACTTTCAGTTATTAGCAATAACTGTGGTTCAGTGGAAGGCACATTCAAGGAATACGTTTTCTTTACATCTGAATAGAATATTATAATGCAGTGGCATGCAACCAAAACCTTGCTTACTCTGTTATAAAGTAAAGAACAAAAAAATCACAGTGGAATAAAAAAACTGGAGCTGGCTGATCTGAAAAAATATTCTGGGTGAGATTTTTGAAGTGCCAAAGAGATTTAGGAGCACATGTGCCATTGCAAATCATTAGAATTTATGCTCCAGATGGCTTAGGAATTTAGAAGAGTCACGCCCTTCATCTTGTGTGTTTTAAAAGACTTCTGCTGTATTATGAAACCAAGCACTGTGTTTTGAGTTTTTCACACTTTCCAAACACACAGGACCTTTTTAAAACACTCACACCTGTACTTTACCTTTCCTACCTACTAGAAAGCACCATTGTTTTTTTATTTGCTTAAAATACTTAAGTAAAAGATAATCCCATCAGGTGTGTCTTTATTTTTCTTCCCAGTACACCAATGAAATGTCAAATGTTCCTTTGGTAAATATAAATCTGAACTGAGCTTTGGTGAGTCATTCATCATAATGTCATGTTTTTCCTTCCTTGAAGTTTCCATTATTTGATTCAGCTCTTTGAACATAACCTTACCTCCCACGTGAAGTCCTGTGTCCTCTTGAAGTATATCAGGCAACAGGACAGCAAAACTATGTGTTGGGTCAAATTTATTAATGGCACAATTTTCGTGCAGTCCCAGTGAAGCAAATCACCAGTAACTCCATTGTAGTCTCACCGGTTTTATTCTCATGTGTAGCCGTTAAGTGTGATCAGAAGTAGGCCCTTTTGTCTGGATCTTCAGCTGATGTAAATCTGTGTATTCCCATTTAAGTAAATGGAGAGATGCCAGTTTTTACTTGCTAAGGATCTGGCCCATTGTCTTTAACAGGATCTACACTAAAGATGAATTTGCTTTATGAAATCATTTTAAGACTAGGTGACAAAATACAAACAACCGAGCACCATGACACTTAGAGCTCCTTCCAGTGTCATTTAAAAGATACGAGATTTTTCATACAGCATATTTCATCTCCTGAAGCTTTGATTTTTTTACGTCTGTAGACGGGCTCTAAAATATAAATGAGAAGGTTAATTGTGAGAAAAGCTTGTACATAACTGATATTTAATATAGCTAGTGTAGCTGTTTTGGGGATACTGATTCAGAGACATTTAACTTCAGGACCAGGTAAGTATGTACTATTTATGTTTGATCACGTAGTTGCATCAATAGTCTGTGAAAATCAAGTATTAATTAAAACTAGTCTATGCACAAAAGATAATTTTCAGTATTTATAATTTGACTTGCAATAATTAGTGTGACTTTATTCCTCGCATATTCAGACTCTGCTGGTTGTTTCTTTTCAAAACCTATTGCTAATATATGTAAACTCATCAACTGTACACCTTTGAGGGTAGGTGGAGAAACTGTTAAGATATCTGCAAATGAAATTGCTTTTGTAAGCATTATTTGAAATTCACTGACATTTTTCAAGATGTACATGTGAAAACAGTTCCACAAATGATGCAGAAGACCACTATTTGAGTGATGATCAGAAAACACACTGCAATAGTTCAGTCCTGTCTCCCTGGATGTAAAGCACAAACTGGAGTTCTAAGGAATGGTGCTTTATTGTTAGAGGACCTGTTAGTCTTTCTAGGTTCTTATATTACACCCATCCCTGCCTGAGAAGCAGGTTGATCTAGAAGTTAGAGCCCAAATTTTGGAGCCAGAAGTGCCTGAGTTCTAATCCTAGGTTTCTACCACCTTGCTATGTGGCCTTAGGAAAGACACTTTCCCTTGCTGTTTTGCCATCTATATATGGGGAATAATATTTACGGTGGTCATCATTTTTAAAAAAGTTAATCTGCCCTCCCAGTCACTGTATATGTGAGATTTCAGTTATATTCTATTCTAAATAGAGGGCAATACTGCAATGTCTCAGATACCACTGTAGAGTAAGTGGGTAAATGCTGACATTTCCTATTTGCATCAACTGTACCTATTTTACAGGTACAGGGGAGTTGTGCAAATTAGTTGAAATTTAGAAAGGGCTTTGAACAATCCAAGTGCTGTATGTATGCTATGTATGTTTTCTCAGAGCGTAACCCTCCGCCAGTCAATAGAGAATTATTTGGTAGCTCTGACCACTTGTATTTGGGGAAGGAACTATGCAAAATTCCCTCCCCAGAAGCCACAGGCATGCTTCTGTAAATCAGAAGTAACTCCTCCAAAGTCAATGGCAGTAAACTGATGCAAGTCCAATTGCAATCTATCTGCAAATAACAAGCATCCTTGCATTACTGATGCATTCCCTAATTTCTAGCTCCTGCTATTTTTCTGCTTTTACTGGAGGCCTTTTGTGTGTTGGTACTAGAACTTATCAATTGCTGATGCAGCTGTATTTCTTGACTATACCCCAGGGATACTCCCCAAAGACCAGTAACATCACATGCTTTTGTCTAAGGCTGCTTAATATTGCAAAACCTGCAGAATCCTTGATGGGGACCCATAACAATGGCTTCACTTTCCAGAACATTATAAGACTCTAGTATGCGATTGCATTTTGTAATTCATATTTTTGTGCTTAATGACAATTACGTTCATTGCTTGTATTATACTGTAAAGAAACTAGCCTCCTGACTGGGCAATGCTCTGGTACTGTATGCTTTAGAGCAGTGGCTCTCAAACTTGTGTATTGGTGACCCCTTTCACATAGCAAGCCTCTGAGTGCGACCCCCCCTTATCCATTAAAAACACTTTTAAATATATTTAACACCATTATAAATGCTGGAGGCAAAGCTGGGTTTGGGGTGGAGGCTGGCAGCTCGCGACCCCCATGTAATAACCTCGTCACCCCCCTGAGGGGTCCCGACCCCAGTTTGAGAACCCCTGCTCTAGAGTCAGTACCATTAAACCTACAAAGGCATACTTTGGGGGGCAAATAGGTCTAATAATAGGCAACACAACATTTCAAATGCATGCATGCACACAAATTATGCTATGTAATGTATTCTATAGACCATTGTATACTGTCTATATAATGAATTAATGTGTGGGTAGGATAAGGATATGTTACTCTTTGGAATTCTGCTGCTTATACAATAGTGAAATTAAATGTATGCATGCTGTGTCTTGTGCCCAGAAATTACAGGCAGGGGTAAGTTGTGATAAAAGCCCATAACCACCATTAGCAGTGACACCTGCTTCCTGCGCTCAAGGTATTAACCCTTTTTTTACATTATACAATCTGTATTGTAAAATATACATGGGCTTATGAAATTTTTTGGCTTTTATATCTTTATATATTATAG